AAGAAGGAACCCCCCTTCGAAACGTGTCAACTTCATCCTGAGAGTCTCCCCTCCTGATGCCATTTGCATGTGTCTTCCAGTCCAGGGACTCGTTTTTGGGATTTTATATGCCTTTTATACTGCTACTCTTGTGAGTATATTTTCTATATCAATAAATCTACTAATTGCTTACTGAGGTAATGTGCAAGGTTGGTGTGCTATGTTTTTGTGTTCTTTACTACAGTTTGTATTGCGCTTCCCCAGCTTCTTGTCAGAGCCGCACAACCTTTGATCGGTCCTGGAGGAACTTCCATATATCATATTTTATATTGGTTTATCGGCCTTCTACTGATCTGGGTCCCTGACTGCAGGAGGTGTTGTATCTGTACCTACCAGTACAAACACCCCAATTAGAAGCTAATAAGAGTTTCCAACAATTTAGTCCGTATATCACAGACATTCTATCTTATTCATGCAGTACAGGACATAGTCAGTTCCTACATCATGGATTATAGGCTCATACCTTCAGTTGATACGAACCTTTAACTCATTGTGTATGATTAAGTTACCTGTGTCCACTACTGTACTCCAGGATATGGGCTTTATAGGCAAATCAAAATTGCTCTTTTTTTCTCTGGTCTGTAAAACATGTGACCATACGTCCACTCACTCCTCTTCTCCTTTAGAATGACTTGTCTCCTAACTGTCATTGCATACACACAGTTGACAGCTATTATAGCAATCTATGGTGCCTCTGGTTCCTTTAAAGTGAATCTGTCACTTTACCCTTTTAGTGACAGGTTCTCTTGATAATTTACACTGCTCCCTTGCAGGTCTGTTCAGTTGCCAGGGCTTTGAGTAGAAGGGCCTCTGTAAGCTCATGATTGAATTGACTCAGATCTTTCACAGGTATAATAACCTTCCCGGTTGCCTTTATGTGATAGTGTTTAGACCTGGTGATTTATTGCTCATGTGCTAAGCCCAGCATCACAGGAGGAAGGGGAGAAGGTCGCAAGTTCCCACATACCTAGACATACTAGGCATTCCCAAGGGCCCCAACAGGGGAACAGTAATTATTTGGAGAATGGTTTTCTTATCAAGAATGATTGAAAAGGTAAAGGTAAAAATATGGCAGATAAAAAAATAATATAGCATATACAGTTACTGCAAATGTCTTATTGTAATATAATGTTATTAAAAATTGCCTTTTTTGTCTGCAGCCACTGTAATTTTCTGTGAAGTTTCATGAACTATGGCAACTTGGAGGCGTTCTGTACACAGTTAGTGTGCAGAACTTCCAGAGAAATGTAATTTCCTGCTCGATTAAGAGGCTCACTGATTTTCCCAGAAGTCTTCACTAAGATGCAAGTCAAATTTAGGTATCCCCTGCAATAGAATTTCAGTTTTAGTGAGATACTCTGCAAGAGTAAACTACTTCTACTTTCTTCATCACAACACCAGCTGAATATAATAAACAAAAATAATCCTCCCATTCAGAATCAGTCTGCAAAGGACATGGAAAAACAAACAGCTATTTCTTCAGAGAAGAAAAAGTCTGTCGAGATCCCTGCAATTTACATAGATCACCCAGAGATTATTTTTTCTCAACAAATGTGGAGATACACATTTGATCATTTTTGGATTTATGAAATTATAACTATTTAGGCTTACCTATTAAAGGTTATTGTTTTCCCCAATAGTCAGCTATACTTTCAGCTTGAATGTCAAGAATCAGAGGTCACCTGAAGCCTGACATTTTCTGTCTTGTCAACTGCCTGTCACACATCATCTCCTAAACCCTGAAACTGCCAGATAAGAGTTTTCCATAGTTAAAGGATCACTAAGTGAAAAATATTGTATTCTGGTACCTGTAAAAATAATTGTCACACTATGAATTCCTTTTTATTTCATATAATAATGATAATCACTTTATTTATATTTCCCCACACATTTACATGCAGACCCAACATTCTAGGAAAAGTTGAAGTTTGTGGGGTTGAGACAAACCAAATAACTCTGCATTGATTCTTATGGCAACTGTATTGTTGCTGTATTGTCTCCCGTTATATTGTAAAGTGCTGAGCAAACTGTTGGCACTATATAAATCCTGTATAATAATAATAATGGTTTAAAGCTTTAAAAAATGTTGCTGCAAATGCTTAGAAACTGTTAATAGGGTTTAATTTATTTGTTGCTTACTTGATGTCCATCTAAAAGTGTCTACAGCTGGCCAAGTTTGAAAGAATTAAAAAAATTTGTTTGATCTTCTAATAGTTAATGGGGTCAAATCAACAATCGTTTTGGACTGTAGTGCCAAAATAAATTGAAGAAGCAGGATGAAACAATTTTTGTAACAAACTAAATTCTAGCAGATAATATGGTTTTTGGTTGGGAAGCTCCATTAATTCCAAAATGTTTTGAATGGCATCATTGGATGTACTGACAAGATTTTTTACACAAACATTTGTGCTAATATCTGCCCATGTATGGCCATCTTAAGACCAATTTGTCCACCAAGTGACAATGCTGCTGTGTGATTTTACTACAGAATTAACAACTTTATCAAGTGAAAAATCAACGGATCTCCTGGCAGGATCAGTGCATAAAATGTTACATGGGGGAAAAAAAAAAAAAAAACTGCTGCATTACTGTTAGTGACAGACTGCATCATAAATGTCATTTTTGAATTACTTGTTTAGTTTAGGAGGGGTGAAATCAGCTCTGGTATTTTACACTGTTATGCACACTCAGAAGTTGGAAGACAGTGGGGCCTATCAAATAAAGTAAATGAACAAGAGCAAGGATAAATGCTATATCACACTTGCATGGCAAGCTAGCATGTATGTGCAAATGTGCAGGCACATCACGAATATGATTCCTGAACCTATGTAGCAAATTGTACGCTGATGTTCACTGCCTATCTCCTAGTTTTCTATGATCATTGCAGACTCGTGCAGACTCCACCTCTGCAACATTGCCAAAATCTGCATGTTCCTAACCCCAGAAACCACTAAACAGCTCATCCACTCCCTCATCATATCACGACTCGACTACTGCAACTCCCTCCTCACTGGCCTGCCTCGCCGCTGGCTATCCCCGCTACAGTCGATCCTGAATACGGCTGCCAGACTCATTCACCTTTCCAACCACTCCATCTCTGCCACCCCCCTCTGCCAATCCCTCCACTGGCTTCCGATTGCACAACGGATCAAATTCAAAATCCTAACACTGACATACAAAGCTGTCCACCATACTGCCCCGAACTACATCTCTGATCTAATATCCAAGTACCGCCCAGCATGCACACTCCGCTCCTCACAAGACCTCCTCTCTAGTTCCCTGGTCTCCTCCTCCCATGCCCACCTCCAGGACTTCTCAAGGGTGTCACCCATCCTCTGGAACTCCCTGCCCCAACCCATCAGATTATCACCTACTCTCCTCTCCTTTAGGCGCACCCTGAAAACCCATCTCTTCAGGGAAGCCTACCCCACCCCCTGCTAACTTGCCGACCTCCTCCACTCTTCCTACCACTCCATCCCCACAGCTATCTCCTCCTGTGCCACCATCCCCTCCCTCCTAGATTGTAAGCTCGAAAGAGCAGGGCCCTCAATCCCCTCATGTTTTGCATTGTATTGTATTGTTCTGTCACATGTTCTGTCCCCCTTTGTAATGTACAGTGCTGAGCGAACCATTGGCGCTTTATAAATACTGTATAAATAATAATAATCATTGAACAATGAAGGTTTGAGTAAAGCCACATTTGTATTGTAGGCATGCCACTGTAGAGAACAGAGATGCTTAATAACTATTAATATTCTGAGTGTATGATTTGCTTGCCCACACCAAATTGTGTTCCTGCATCTGTGCATGAGTGTTAGTAAATCAAGCCCAGTGCATGAAAACTGAACATCAACTCTCAGATCTTTGTCTGCTGACATCTGATTCCCGACACTTCAGCTGAAGACAACAGAAGTAGAGCTAAGTAAGGGAACGTGTAAAAACCTTACCTATGTGTGTCTCTCTCTCATATTAATGTTTTAGGACTTAACATTCAGATTCTTTCATATGCCCAGTCACTGAAAACTGTTTTAATTAGTCAGTTTTTAGGAAGTTTAACCCCTTCGTGCCTAAGGGTAGAACAAATCATAACTCCTAAGTGCAATTTTGCAACCTCGACATGTGTTAGCAAAACTGTACATATCACAACTACTTTGTGCATCCAGGTGGATTATAGCTTGTTTTTCAGGACAAATTGGGCTTTCATTTGGTTGTAAATGGTAATAGATATCTCCCGATTTTTTTTTTTTTATTATCAAAGTAAAACTGTCCCAAAATAGTACAAAAAATAAAAAACATTTTAAATTTAGCTGTATATTTCTTGTTACTACCATAATCTACCACCAAAGAACAACCCAAAATAATTTCTTCTGCTCCTGATGATCGCAGCGATACCACATGTGTGTGTCAGTTGTTGCTTGTACCCGTAGTACAGCCCAGAAACAGTAATGTACAATATGCTTTTTTTTATCCTGTCACTAACTGATACTGATACTAATTAACCACTAGCCTACAGGGCACTTATACCCCCTTCCTGCCCAGGCCAATTTCCAGCTTTCAGTGTTGTCACACTTTGAATGACAATTGCGCGGTCATACAACACTGTACCCATATAAAATTTTTTATCATTTTGTTTTGTGACAGATAGAGCTTTAATTTGGTGGTATTTAATCACCTCTGGGTTTTTTATTTTTTCTTAAACAAACCAAAAACCACTAAAAAAATTTTTTCTTAGTTTTTGTTATAAACTTTTGTAAATAAGTGATTTTTCTCCTTCACTGATGTGCGCTAATGAGGCTGTAGTGATGGGCACTGATAGGCTGCACTGATGGACACTGATAGGTGGCACTGATGGGCACTGGTAAGTGGCACTGATGGGAATTGACAGGCAACACTGATGGGCACTGAAAGGCAGCACTGATACATGGCACTGACAGGCGGCACTGACTGGCACTGTTAGGTGGCACTGACTGGCACTGTTAGGCGGCACTGACGGGCACTGATAGGCAGCACTGACGCACACTGATAGGCAGCACACTGACTGGCACTGATGGGTGACACTGAAAGGCAGCTCAGATCGGCACTGATATGTGGCATTGATGTGCACTGGTAGGCACTGAAAATGTGGCACTGGTGAGCACTGACAGCTGGCACTGATGGACACTGACAGGTGGCACTGCTGGGGCTACACAGATCATCAGGGCACACTGATCATCAGTGCTCTGATGATCTGTGTACATGTCACCTCCGAGGAATGCCGATTATCAGCTCTCCTCTCCTCATGAGCTGTCAGCGTGACAGCTCATGAGGAGAGAAATGCCGATAACCGGCATTTCCCTGTTTACATGTGATCAGCTATGATTGGACACAGCTGATCACATGACCGAGCCGACATCTTCGGCTCTTTCCGTTGATTGGTGATACGCTGTCCGAGGGACACAGCGCACTGCCAAACTCCGCTCTGCATGCTCCCTGCATGCGCGGTTAGAATGGGGGGGGACGTCAGATGACCGCCTTGCACCCGTCATTGTACTATATGGCGGGTGGGAGGTGGTTAAAAAATTAACAAAAAAAACCCTGACAAAAAAAAACTGACCCCGACCCTTGACCCTCCCTACCCCACTCTTTCCGGCTGTCTCCTAGTCTATCCACCTTTAGACAATCCCTGAAAACCTTTCTCTTTAAAGAAGCCTATCCTGCTTCTACTTAGTAAACCACCATTTATTTCCTCCATCAGCTCATCCCCCCACAGCTCTTACGGTTTGTATCACTCCACCCTTCCTCATAGATTGTAAGCTCTAACAAGCCGGGCCCTTTGTTTCCTCTTGTACCATATTGTATTGTAATTGTAAGGTCTACCTTCATTTTGTAAAGCGCTGCGCAGACTGTATAATAATTAAATACATTGCATGAACTAGGGTTTTTGTTTGGGACCGCTAATTTTGATTTCCTTACATCTTAGTCACTCTTTGTCTTAGGAACCAAAGGTAGATTGGAGGCTGAGGATCCTCTGATGCAGCAAGTTACAAACCATTAATAAGAAGGACCTCTTTCCAAGCCCAGCATTGTTTTGAATTTTCCTATGGTTATACCTAAAGTGGAAACTCTGTCAAACACTAACTATACCTAAATCTACTGCCACCCCCTTTCTGTATATTTACCTATACTAGGATGCTCTAGTCTGGTCACATGATCGGGTCCCAGCACCAGCTTCAGTGAAGCAGAGATCGCTGACAACAGGCTGCAGAGCCTGGACAATGACATCACCCACAGGCTTACTATGGGGCATTTGTTGTCTGCTCTTCTTCCTCTACACTAAAGCCGATGCTGAGTCGTAATCATGTGACTGGACTGGAGCACTCTCAGAATAGGTAAGTATACAGATCTTTCTTTTCCACAGGGTAGATAGAAAAAGTTTAAAATTGGGGTGGTGAGTAGATTTAAAGCAGAACTCCAGGCAAAAAACTTCTTTACATGTCCTTGTTGGTGATCTGCTACCTTCCCTGAATATTAGGGATGCACCGAAATTCTGGTGGCTGAAACGTTTCGGCCGAAAACACCCCTTTCAGCTGTCGGACGAAATAAAAAAAAGTACCGATACAGGTACCAAATAAACTCTGCCCCTCAAAACCGCCTGTCTGCCTGCCGCCGCTTGGTAGTTCAGTCTTATCTGAGAAACCATTGATCCTGGCGTTGGGCATAGAGATGAGTGAAGGAAAGATGGCCGCCACACATCTCTATGCCCTTGGAGGACCGATGTCACTTCCGGTACCGGCCATTTTTTTTTTTAAAGCACTAGATCAATGCTTTTTTAAATCTAATACTTTACATTGCAGAGGAAAGATGAGGGGTCTTATTGACCTCACATCTCTCCATAAAGAGCACCTGTCACTAATTATTTCTATCACAAGGGATGCATGCATAGGAATAAAAGTGATTACAATTTTTTTAAAAGGACCAGTGCAAAAAAACCCAAACCATTAAAAATATATTTTTTAAAAGTTTAAAGTGCCCCCGACCCCGTGTTCAAACCACACATGTGAGGTATCGCCACGAACGTCGGAGCAAAAGCAATAATTCTCACACTAGACCTCCTCTGTAACTTTACACTGTAGAAATTTTTAAAGCATCACCCATGGAGATTTTTAAGTACCGCAGTTTCACACCATTCCACGAGCATGCGCAATTTTAACCTCCTTAGCGGTATTCCCGAGTGTAGCTCGGGGTACAATTTGAGTACCAAGAACGGTAACCCCGAGCTACACTCGGGCTTACCATGCGGCGTTGCTCAGGGAGTCCCTGCAGCACTTACCTTGTTCTTCGCTCCCACGATGTGTCCCCTGCAGCGTCCCCGGCCATCTCCTCCGGCCGATGCTCGCATCTGGCTTCAGTGTTCCGGTCCCTGTGACGTTGGGACGTATGGGCACCGGAAGCAGCAGCAAATTTGAAATTTAAAAAAAACGTCATTTTTTAAAAAATGATTATTACATAGTAAAACATTGCTGTTTCAATGAATTTCACATACATTTTGTCCCTACTGCTTTGTCCTGTGCCCTTCCTGCGTCCCTTTACGTCAAAAGCAGTTTTAGACCGGCTAGAGAACAGCGATAGTAAATCAGAACCACTTGCAGAATTGAGTGATAATGATTCGTGGGGAAATTCGTCATCAGACACTGAAAACGATTTTGCGACTTTGCTCAGCGATGTGCGAATTTGCCTCTGCATTTCAAATTTCAGTGTTTTTGGTTTGATTATATTATTGAATTACATTTATTATTATTATATTATTATTTTTTATGATTTATTAAATTATAATTTATGATTTTGTGTTTGAAATTTTATCCTACCCGGGATGTTTACTAGACTCTTGTTCATACAGATTTCAGTGAGTTATTCCTAAAAATTACAGCCTACAATAAAAAACTACATATTTCCAAGCAAAAAAATGGTACCGCTTTCAGCACAAAAAATCGGAAATGATCATACCACCGAGGAGGTTAAAGCGTGACATGTTGGGTATCTATTTACTTGCCATAACATCCTCTTACATATTTTACAAAACAATTGGGGTATATATATATATTTTTTTTAATCAAAGTGTATTTTTTTCCCCAAAAAATATTCATTTTTAAAAACTGCGCATTTCGGTTTCGGTTTTCGGCCAAGTGCATTTTGAATTTTCGGTTTCGGCGCCCAAATTTTCATTTCGGTGCACCACTACTGAATATGTCATCCTCTGGTTCACTCTGTTGTTCCTCTGAAATAGCCTATTAATTTTCAAATCAAACTGTTAATTGTCTCTGGTTTCCTGTTTGTAAGACTGGTGGCTGCTATGCCTCCTATTTCCCCAGACACTGGCCTTGGCACATCCCGTCTGTAGTTCTTTCTCTAAGAAGCAGTGATGTAATTCAGCCCCACTTGCATGGTGGGTGGACCGAAACTCTCAGACACATTCAATATGTACAGGCCTAGTGTAAACTACTACATTAATTTCAATTCCCTGTGGATGATAGGAAGCGTAGTTTCCTTTTACAGTAGAGAAAGAAGAGAGGATATGGTGTAATCCCTGATGTTACACCTCCTCCTTGGCAGAGCAGATGCTGTTATCTTTTGAATGACAGAGATGAGGTCATGAAAATTCAATTAGACTTTTCTCCTAAATGGTAAGGAGTTTCAAAATTTTATTAACTGTTTAGTGTTTTCTATAATGGGTAATTTTGTGCCTATCCTGGACTTCTTTAAGTATATTAGTGTTTAACTGAATTTCCACTTTATTTGTGTGACTCATCTCATGTGGGTCAGGGAGGGAATCAAATGATGGAGGCATATACTATACATCTTTAGGCACACGATTCCACACAGAATTTAGGGTGCCATAAGAGTCTCAAGAGTACTACCTACTGCTAATGAATTTTGTTAAAGTCTGTATCCATGTGTAATTTAATTTCAATTTATCTTGGACGATGAACTCTGTAGAATGAAAAAAAATACATATGGCTTCAATTGTGATAGGTCTACTTAAAATCTTAGATAAGCCATATGTATTTTTTTTCATTCTTTTGTCCAAAAGGGTGAGGTTGGCCCACACAAAGTTTTGCCTACAAGGCTCTACAGACCTTCATCCAGCCCTATACATATCGCTTGCAAGCATCTGCCAATGTATTGCCACCTTTAGACCACATTTTGGAAAGACATACAAAGCTCGAAACAGGTTTCAAGTTTTCATGTGTGTAATCTGTGGGGATGTAAGTTCTGGATTCCTTACACTTTTTTTGCCTAATTTTACTGAACTGATCTTTTATGGAAAATCTAGGCAAATGCTGTGAAATCTTACTTTTGATTTGGCAATATGGCACTTCGGCAAAAGAAAGAAATTGGTTATTAATTCATGCTTTTTATATTTGGGCCTGACTTATTTTAGGATAGATCAAAGTAGGAAAAGCAATATGTTGTAAGCGAACAACAAAAAAAGGACATGGATTGAGAAAGCAGTGCACTTTGCTGACTTTCTTCAAATATTTATTTTATTAAAAATTAATAAGAAACATAAATTGGTCAATTTTTTTTGGCCAGGATACAGAAAATTCAAGAAAACAAAAAAAACCCCTCCATATCAACATATATTGTTTTAATGAATAACCTGTATTGCATGAGTTGGAATTTTACAATTAATTTAATTGATACAAAGAGTAATTTTTTTTTTCCTAATGTCTCCTATTTTACTGCAGGCCCTAGAAGAAAACATGAAACTGGAGTGTAAATGTCATGGTGTATCTGGATCCTGCACCACAAAAACATGCTGGACAACACTGCCAAAATTCAGAGAGGTGGGATTTATTCTGAAGGACAAATACAATGAAGCTGTTCAAGTCGAGCCAGTGCGTGCCAGCCGAAATAAGCGACCAATGTTTCTCAAGATTAAAAAGCCTTTGTCCTACCGCAAACCCATGGACACAGACTTGGTGTATATTGAAAAATCTCCAAATTATTGTGATGAAGACCCAGTGACTGGTAGCGTTGGGACACAAGGTCGCATGTGCAACAAGACAGCTCAACACGTCAGTGGTTGTGACTTAATGTGCTGTGGGAGAGGGTACAATACACACCAATACTCCCGGGTGTGGCAATGTAACTGTAAATTCCACTGGTGCTGTTATGTGAAATGTAACACATGCAGTGAACGAACAGAGGTGTTTACCTGTAAATGAGAAAATATCCTGGAACAGAATGCTTTACAGCTTCGGGAACTTTTGCCGTACATTTGCACAGAATTTCAAGCCACGTACCGCAAATTGGAGGCCTATTGCTCCTTTTGTCTTTTAGGAGCTCAAGCGAAACAGGCCCTTGTTGTCTTTCATTTGAAAACGATCGCGATCACTCATCCAGAGACAGCCTAACAATCTAGTAGATTCTTACTTACTGTCTTCTGATAGAGAGAAAATACTAGCACAGGGGCATAAAGATGAGGATAGAAAGGGCTCTCCATACCTTAATTCATTCAGTTATGCATTCCATAATGGAACCCACTTCAAACTGAGTGATGATGTTGTACAAGTAGGTGAAGCGTGTGTTTCTGTTTTATTCTCTTTATCTGGATACACATGAATAGTCAGATGGATCAGATATTCATTGGTGGTTCACACCTAAAAGTTATTGGTTAGACATACTGGAATATAGGATATATCCTGGAAACAGAGGGATATGAAAAAACAGCTGCCTTTTTGAAAGGGAGATTAGAATGAGCTAACAATGAACATGTGTGAATTTCCGCTTCGAGTGTGCATTATACAGATTAAGGTTGTAAATGCTCAGAACTTTGTTACCACCACTTCAGATTGGCTGTAGTGTTTTTTATTTCTCCTGACCAATTTTTTTTCTTTCATTTTTCTTTTTTTTATAAGGCGCTGTTATATATATAAATATATATTAATTATTTTCGTTGGCACATGGACTATAAATATTAGCAATGAATATTTAACAATATATTTTAGAATAAACTAATATTAATTTATTTAATAAATAAACCTACTGCCATTTGCAACTGTTCTGTGCAAAAACAAATATAATTAATTAGGGAATTAAAATGCTGTCTTGGGAAACTGGAGATGTAAATAGTATATATAACTCAAATCCCACTTATAGCTGTGCACAAGGGATAATCTTGTTACTTTTACTTTTTCGTGGTGAAAGCAGACACCTTTACATTAATACTTTAATGCTGTTTGCTGCTAGCTGTCTGGACACTCATTTATCAATATTTAATTGTTTGGTTATGTTTATTTTTATTTTCTTTTTCTAAATTAAGTAATTGGATTCCATTTGTTGGAATGTTCCAGACAAAAAAAAAAAAAAAGGAAAAAAGGACCATATGGAAAAAAAAAAGAGTATATTTTGTAAGAGACTATTTTTATATGAATATTTTATTTATATTATGTCTGCTTGTATAATTCCATAATCATCAGTTTCTCAATAAATGACACCTTATATCAAATTTCCGGTGTTTGAAAAAATCAGTACAAATTTAGTCCGAAATACACAACTTCACAAAATATTTGCTGATTTCTTTTCAAATATTTTTTTTTTTTGTAAATCAAAACCTCCACTTAAGATATATCTTTATTTCCCCCTTTAACTTTGGATTAACAACTAATAGATGGCGTGTGTGTTTCTTGTTAGGCACTTTGGCAGAATACACACAATAGACAAAGGTCATTTAACATTCATATGATCACATGGCTTACATTTGTGATTAGCATTAAATTTTTGCTCGCTGATCCCATTCGGAAGAGGAAAAAGAAAAATCCGAATTTGCTTCCCACATGCATCAGTCATTAAACTCTAGGTTTTCTGTTAGCAAATGTGCTGCGTATGCTGCCTATTAAATCTCTATATTGTGTTACTGTCAAATTTGATTTTATCAGTGACAGACTATAGACTATGACTGTACAAACTAACTTGACATACTCTGTCTGATTCTCACAGATAGCATACAAAGCCTACAGGTTTTTCAGCCAACTGCTTTGAGCGTTTGCCCACTTTGTGCCTTAAAAAAATAATATGCAATGTTAAATAATTTCACCGTAATAGCAATGCCATACAAAAAAACTCTCCTTACACACAATTAACAGTTACAGTATTTTTTTTTTTTAATCCTTAGGTCCATTATATTTTTGATTTCACAAACAGTGTTAGACCAGTGTACATCAATGTATAAGATGTCAGAATAGATTTTAGATTAAAATAATTTATTGTCAGACTACTGAGCTGGTAAAAAATAAAATGCAAATATTTTTATAAAGGTTTTTTTTTTGTTTTATTAACTACTGAAATATAATGCACAATGCTGTTAGTCCTGGTAAGAGGGTACAGAATGGGTGTTTCTTTGGACAAAATGGCTTCTCTATAGTTCACGGTGGATTTCATTCTCTTTCTGGAAAAAGCACCAATGGCTCTTTGGAAGTTGGAAATATTTTTGGGATTTTGAAAAAAAATGACTTAAGCAAAAATGACTTGTGTAAGATGGCTTCTTCCAGAATTTGTTGGGTTTTCTTTTTATTCAACAGTTAATTTACAGTGTGGGCTCATATCAGTTCCTCAATCCATTTTAGTTACAATAAAAACTTGGATCTCAAGCAGTTTATTTTTGTGTTGTTTATTGATGGTTGACCAAAATTTACTTCTTAAAGGGGCGGTCTCCAAAATTGTTGAGCTAATTTAACTACTGGCTTCTAAAATTTCTTGGTTCTCTCTAGTGAAAGTCCCATCACTGCTACCTCTTCCAAGGAAGATTCACACCTCCCACTGCAAAAGAAATAAAAAATCCAATACAAAGAATGAATTCCCCTTCTTTAGACTGCTGTAGGTAGGGAGAGCTGGGAATGGAAAAGTAATACTCAACCAATTAGTATATTTTGTGTTCCACTTGAAGGAAGAAGTAGCACAGTTTTCTTCAAAAGTGTTTCACAGCTGCAAAAACAGTTTATATTTTTAGGGGATATGCAAGACAACATTGAAAGTGAAGCCTTGAAATGGACACAGAGAGTACAGTCCATCTGGACGGGGCTTCACTTGTTCATGAAGGCATTGTTTTAGTGCACCAGTCCATCCTCTGCCTTTTGTCAGTTGTCTGATGATCGAAAAATCCATTCTGTTAAAAACCAAGTTCCAGCCTTCTCCCCAAAGGTCACCCCAACCTGTGTTTATTTTTTTATACTTACCTTTTTCACGTTTTCAGGCTAGTAACGTGACATACAGGGTAATCTTCCTTTTCATTTCCTCTCTGGCCTTGGGCAGGCCTCAGTAATGAAGAAAGCTTAGCTGACCTGCTGATATCAGCTCCTTTTTCTGCATCATTGTATTGTGACTCTGGGGCACTAAGGTGATGCTCCCTAACAGCCTGAACTCAAAGGAAGCTGATTGAATGACACTGGACATCATTCTACCCAGAAAAAGGGGAAGAGGACCATAGGAGAGAAGGTGAACATTGCCACCAGATCTACTTTTTATTTTTACAACAGGTGGGGTGAGGTATATAATAAAAAATATAGAAACCTGAAATTAAGCTTTAACTATTTGTAATGTAAGAGTGTTATACTGTAGTCTTCCTGATGTCTGCCTGTCATATCTAAGTGTAAACACTAAGAGGTTCAATAGAACCATGAATTACAGCAAACCAGCTGCTCACTGGACATGAGTCCCGTGAAGCTTCAAGGCATGATATTACCTTTATTCACAGAGCTTGATAACCTGTAGCTACCAGGCTCTGTAGAGCTGCCTAATCATGTGGCCACTGTAACTGGCTGTCATACTGGTCATATGATTGGAAGCTGATCCTGCCAGTTCCTGACCCTTAGTATAGACAAAGAGTCGGCTTTCAAAGCTCAGTCTCTGTGCTGGGAGTGTGCAGTGAGCATGCTCTTAGCACAGAAACCTGTGGTGCCTTTTTGTTAATGCCCATCCTCTTTTCCACCACACATATGTGTTAGATGGGTAGCAAGAGGTTTCAATCCTAATTGATCCTGAGCATCTTTTTAATCCTAATTAAAATCTCAGAATCAGTGTCCTGTACCACACATTGTGCAAGCACTGACAGCCCCTGACTACACATTATCCCTGATCTGCACCCTCTTTGTGTACTGGAAAATGTGGCTAGCAGTGGACCGTATGTCTCCCCATGACCTGTATACACAGAATATTACACAACATAGGAATATAAGACTCACCAAGAACACTATGTATTCTGTAGCCAATATACATCAATGGTCCATATCTGCCTCCCTTCTCCTTCAGTAGACACTGGATACTTTAAAGAGTCTCTCGGTTATAGTGAGTGGGGTTTTCGAACATTAGAGAAGATGCAGTATTTGCTGTCTAGCGTTAGCAGTTAACTGAATTCCCTTTGTCAAAGCACAACTCTAGATATAACTTCTCTGCTTTTAATGGAAGCTAAAGTCTAAAAAACAAAACCTATGAGCAGATAAGCTCTTTATTGAAGAGGAGACATGCAATGTACCTTCTGCAGTAAAAAAAGCAAAACATCTTATGCAGTAATATAAATGTACCTGCCTGCTCACAATCTTCTGCAGAATGTACAATGTCCTGCACATGTCCAGCTCAATGTACAGTACATTTCTGACACGGCACCTGTGCCAGGTCTAAAGAACTCTCCTGTGCATCCAAGGGAGTTGTATCATTCTGTGCTGGGCAATCAAAATGGCTGACCTGTCATCTGGAAAAAGTCGAAGGAGAAGAAGCCAGTGCCAGCAAGGGACCTCGCAAGTATTGGAGCAGAGGTAAGTAATGTGGGCTTTGGTTCTGCTTTAAAGTGTATGTAAACTTTTTTTAGTAGGGACAGATCAGGACCCCTTTCTGCCACATAATCCTAGTGACCATTATCACAGAGACATAAAATGATGAAAAGTCCTAAATTTTTAAGCTGTCACCAGAACAAGAGGTAAAGAAAAATCTTCCAATAAGGACCCCTGCCTTTGTGACAACCGTCTAAAGGAAATTTCCCTCAGTTTGTAGATATTTTCTCCCTTCTTTTTGTGCCTCCAGGACAGAAATTTAGGATACATCTCCCCACTAGGACACAAACAACAATAAACTGACAGGTGTTTTAACCCCCCCCCCCCCCAATTGTATGCAAAACTAAAAATAAAAGTTTGGAATTTTTTCATACAGAACCCTATGCAGTGAGAAAAGACAA